GTACCGACCGCGTTTTCTGTGTCCCTTCACTCCAAGAGCATAGCGTGGCGCTCGTTCGCCTTTTCGAGACCCCACAAAGTTGAATAAGAGTCCCGCCTCGTCAGCGTTGAATATGTTACACAGTGCGTAGTCCGAAAGCAGAGTCGGCAGCGTGTTGAGCCAGTCGTTCACCTGCGACCCGTCCACTTTCTTCGCTTTCACCACAGACGACGTTGTAAACTAATCCGTGGCCGTTCTTTGAAACCGTGCAGCTATTCATCAAAACCTTGGAAATTGTCGATGCCAAGAGAAAGCCCTATGTTGTCCGCCTTTTTGCGTAGCACTTTGCCGTCCATGTTGTCGCCGGCTGCTGTCACTTACGAAATCATGTAAGCAGAATATCTTCCAGCTTTAAGTGTGTAGCCGTCTGCCTGCTTCACATTTGCGCCAAAGTGCTGGGCATTTTTCAAGATTACTTCTCGCTGCCCCACAATAGTGTAGAGAGTCGACGGCACTATGCCTAACTCTTTCACCAAGTCAGTGCACTTTCTCTTGGGGTATCGTCGACTTTCCTGAGAATTTCGATTTTCTCTTTGAAAGAAAGCGCCTTCCACTTGCTAGACATAACGAACGCTTCGGTCTTCCGGTATGTGGCAAGCTTAGGCAGTCCAAAAACTCTTGAAGACGATACGAACACAGCAGTTAGAGCTGCAATACTGGCGCTTTCGATTACGAGAGCCGCCACACCATGTGAAAACTGCATGGCAATAAAAAATAAAAAAAACAGCACACACAAAAAAAGGCCAATGACCTGCCTGGAAAGGGCTGACATACTTTGTTGCGGACATGACCAGGGCAGGAAACGAGAAAAGCCACACATGCCTGTCACCCCTCTTCCCCTTGATACTCACTTCTCAAGCGGTGCCCGAGAGGTTTCCCTTTCTCACGTGTGGCATGCAGGGGGGAGGGGGCACAGTGGCGAGAAACAAGTGAGGAGAGATTGCAACGCTTCTTTACTGTTTGCGCAGCTGGGGCAGAGCGATGCGGTAAAGAAAAGTGAGAAAAGTAAGTTGTGGTGGGCCAGTGGCCACTCTGCATCACGCCGCTCGTGTGAAATGGTCGTTCGCGCATTCGTGGATTGATTTATTGATTTGTAGGGTTTAACGTCCCAAAACCACCATATGATTATGAGAGACGCTGTAGTGGAGGGCTCCGGAAATTTTGACCACCTGGGGTTCTTTAACGGGCACCCAAATCTGAGCACACGGGCCTACAACATTTCCGCCTCCATTGGAAATGCAGCCGCCGCAGCCGGGATTTGAACCCGCGACCTGTGGGTCAGCAGCCGAGTACTTTAGCCACTAGACGACCGCGGCGGGGCGTTCGCGCATTCGTATCATTCGCGGTGGCTGGAGATACTGTTCGTATATTACCTAATGACGGCCTATTCAGATCAGTTCTGTTTTATTTCCTTAAGGGCCCCCATTTAGGGGGTGTTACATAAGGGGTGGGATTACAAGAAAAAAATAATCTAACAGCGATGATTAAATTAACATTGCAGATGATCAGTGATGCAGTCTTGAAAAGCAGATGGTGAGGCAATGTTGACAATGTCATAGGGTAGGCCGTTCCAGTCTGAAGCTGCTTTGAGGGTTAATGAAGCAGAAAACGTAGTAACATGCAATGGCAGGCGGGCAACTTGAAGTGGATAACTGGTGCGGCGGGAAATACGTGATGCGGCTGTGATATACGGTTCTTGATTGAGAGACGAATGAAAGAACTTATGATAAAGGGTATGACTGGCAATGCGACTACGATACAGAAGTATCATGCAGCTTTCAAGGGTGAAATGCTGATAACACATGATTATGAAGAATGAACGAATTGAGTGGGCCTGTTTTGAACGGCTTCAAATTCAGTGATTAGATATGCTAGATGCGGGCTTCAGATGGCAGATGCATATTTTAGTTTTGGTCTTATTAGTGATTTATATGCGAGTAATTGAACATGAGATAGGGCTAGTCGGAGGTGGCATTTTAGAAAACCGAGCATTTTGTTCGACGCTGAAATTATGTTCGTAATATGGGTGCGCCATGATAAATTAGAAAAAAGGGTGACTCCTAGATATTTATAGGTGTCTACTAACTTTATGGAAGAATTTGAAATGCAGTAGTACAAGCGAGAGGGGTTATCACAACGAGAGAAGGACACGAGTTTACATTCAGTAGGGTTGAGAGTCATTAGCCAGACATTACACCAATTTAGTATATTGTTAAGGTCACTCTGAGAAATGGAATGGTCATGATGGTTAGTAATGGCATGGTAGATTACACAATCGTTAGCGAACATACGAATGTTACAGGAAGCATCCAATGGTAGGTTATTAATAAATATTAGGAATAAGAGAGGACCGAGAACAGACCCCTGTGGGACTCCCGAGGTTACTGGGAGGGGCTTAGACAGATAGCCGTTAACACAGAGGGATTGAAAGGGGCTAGTTAAAAACTCTTCAAGCCACTTGAGGATGTTAGGAGGTAAGTTATGCTTTGAAAGTTTTAGTAATAAACGCTGGTGAGGAACTTTGAGGAACATGTAAACCGTTCTAAACAACCTTAAAATTCGTATTATCGTGCAATTTGCATAAACCGTAATCGTATCATCGAGATGATACTGTAATGTGATTTTGGTGCCCTCTGCAATTAACCCCTTTGGAAAAGCTGTATCCATGTGATACAGCCTACAACAGATCACACATCACGGACTGGTGCACTCACGAACGCTGCACAACCAATAAATTACATGGCCTTTTAATCACCTGCAACTGAGGGATAAATTGTAAAAATACAGGCGACAAATGACCAATCTTTGGAAAAATACATGCACTTTCTTGGCTTAAGCCCGGCGCAGCATTCAATATATCGCATGTTACGCTCTGGTGGAGTTCGATATTGTCGCGGGTTCGTAACGTGGCTGAAGACAGGATACTTTATGTTGGGACTTGACTGTTTATTTGGGCGAACCTGTGCCCGGTGAACGGAAAGTCCGATTACAGTAGCAGTCTTGCACAGATAGCAGTGAATGGAGCGTCGGCCATCGATCAACTACTGACAAGCGGCGAAGTGCGTCGGCATTTATACTCTTGCCATCGAATGTTCTAGCGTTATCGCTGGCGGTGACGAGTGTTCCAGAATCATCTGTACAATTCGCGGAGTGGGCGTGATCTTATCGAAATGATCTACTAGTCCCGAAGCTTCTCGAAAACTGCAGGTGCGCTGAGAATTGCGCTGAAAATTGTGTAGTGTACAGTCAACTGCCGATTTTTCGGACACGCTCGATAATTGGGACATCTTCGCAGCATCGCCACGAACCCCATAGAATCAATGTATAAGGAGGTCTGAAATTTCGGACGCTCGAACCCCCCGGTGTCCAATTTTCCGGACTTTTTGACGCAACGGAATGTCGGAAACCACCACAACTGCGTCACAAGCGATTACGATTGCATAAATGAGCGTGCCGGTCTACTGTGGCGGCATCTGTTGCTTGGACTCGTTGATCGTTAGCGGAGAAACACACATGGCCTTCGAGATTCCTAACACTGGCCGTGTTTCTCGTGCAATGGTGCTTCGCTGACAATCTAAACTATCCACCCAGAAATTTTTTGGCCGCCAATAAAATTCCTTTCGCTTTACTAGCGCTTGTGCTCCTGCATGCCACTCTGGCTTCCCGCGCAGCGCTTTCGCGAAGCGTTTCACCACTTTGAACTAGAACTAACCGTCACACACCGATTTGGTCTGCGCCACGCTGGCTATCTTGAATGTTTACCAGCGCCACATCTGGAGTACCCGAGGCACCGTCGCTTGCCGTCGCGCCGTTTTGTTTATGCAGCCTACATGGTGTTTGGCTAGCCTAGTGTGTGGTTGTGCGATCGTGTGAAATGTGTTCTGCAACGCTAAGCCTCGGTGCTTTGACACTCGCCAGCAAACTCCTTTGTTCACACCGTGAGGATTTCGCTTGCCTGCGATGGCCTCCACTCTGCCTTCGTCGTCCTCGCCAATGGCATCGAAGCGCGGAAAACAGTACCGTCGGTTAACGATGGAGAAGAAAGCCGCCATTTTTAAGTTAGTAAAGAGTGGCCGATCGCAGGCTGACGTGAGCAAGGAATTCGGCATTTCCAAGCAAACAGTTTCCGATTTCCTGAGGAAGAAATACAAGATCTTCGAAGCGGCCGAAAAACCGTCTGGAAGCCAAGGTGTTCGTCCAAAGCTTGAGGACGCTCTCGTCGTGTGGCTTAATTCAATGATTTACAAAGATCAACAAGTTTTTCAAGCCACTGCAGCTCTAACAACGGCTGCCCTGACGGCACCCGCTGTCGGCTGCATGCAATTTTTTTAATGGCTCTTTTCAGAGCCACCCCACTGATGCTTTGGCAGAGTTCTGGAAGTCTAGTACTTCGACCTTGACCCTCTTGATCAGAGAAATATCAATGAAATGGTGCGTTTTTTGCTTGCATTGAAAATTATCAGTAAAATAATGCGTTTTTTTTGCATTCATTTTTTCGGACTGCCCGAATTTTCAGACGGTTTTTCGCTCCTTAGAGGGTCCAAAAAATTGGCAGTTGACTGCATTGGGGCGATAACAAAGCTTGAGGAATGGAACGTGGCAATATACGTTTACGACATTCCGATACTTTTGCATGAAAAATTCGAGGGGCTTACTGTTAGATACAGATACAGCTGATATTTCAATAGATCTGCATTCGATATACTAAAACCATCTGTATCCCAAATGATAAAGCAGAAATCAGACTCATAACTGCTTAACTGCTCAATTCAATTAAAGACAACTATAAAAGCCTTCATGTCATAGTTCTTATTTTCAATGGCTCTAGACTACCCTTATTGCAGATGATCTCCCAAAAACCTGTGTTTTCCCAAATCTCTTTTCCCATTTTGTTTATTTGTACAAAGCACAGATAAAACCAAGTGAGAACATGCAGAGAAAAAAAAATGTAAATAACTTGCCAGATGCTGAGTCATCTCCGCTGCAATGGGTGCAATGTCATCGGCGTACATGCAGACAATTTTCTGCATGACATTGGTTAGATCATCATTCTCTGTCTCCCGGATTATCTTCAGCAGCTCCATGGTAATCTCTTTGATCTTGGGCTTCACAGTCACTTGTGCTGTATTCAGATATATGAAACAATGCAAACATTAGAGAGGCCATATAATATCTTTCAATTTTATCACATAATTAAACTACTAATAGACTCTAGTCCCTTCACAAAACTCCAGCTCATATCTTTTCTCTTTTAAATCTGTCAATCTTAAGTGGTGTGATGCTATTCCCCATTTTGCCCATTTCCCTCTTTTTTTTTTCACCTACCTATGCGCACTGGAATATACAAAGCGAACATTGGCCGAGACATTTTGCCATTCATCAGGACCGTGAGCATTTTTTTTCCTTCATTTTTGTTCCACCATACTGTCCCCTATTACTGGTGGCACTGGCACGCGGTAGCACACAGTGAGCAGGCACCATACCTAGATGATGCAGCATGTGGCCTTTGATATAGTTAGCAAGTACACCCCTCTTAAAATTCTCCAGTACAGGTCGCCACAATTAAGCCCTTTATACTAGGTTGCCATTGCAGCATGGATTCCCCTGTTATTTGCATGCCTTCATGCCGATATATATTGTTACGTGGAAAATAACAGTAGTCAGTCTACAGCCTCAACACAGCTCACCAACAACGTCCACTTCTTCACCCTCAGTCCGAGGCACTTTTCTTGGGTATGTCCCACTATGCCCTGTTTCGGTCAGCCGAAATCACGTAACAATACGTAACTTTCATCCAGGCCAGCAGCGTGTGCTTGTCTGTCTTTGCATGTCCGTGCCCCTACGGCACTAACTACGTGACATGGTGTCAGAAGTGAGATGACCTTGCATGACAGGGAGTCTGGAGTGAAGGAATAGCGCCCCCAGTCTTGGGCCTCGCCAAGGCAAACGACGCACGATGGTCCGCGAGACCAGTGAGCCGTCGAAACTGTACAGCTTCAACCTTCAGCCTCTGGCACTCCTCCGGCGACATGGTAGACATGGCTCAGCCGCTACCAAGACTTCATGACAGTTTTGGGCCATGACAAAAGCGCCGGAAGACATGCAGGTATGCTAGTTCGCTCCTCGAGAGGGTCTGGTTTGTTGCCGAGTCGCTCATTTCGTACTAAGTTTTTGCCGCCCGCTTCACTGTGTATTTCATGCACCCGGCAAACGAGCTCTACGAGTCGTCGCGGTTCTACAAGCGTGTTCAGCTTTCCCAGGAAGCGACATGTACTTTGCAGAACCGTGCAGAATGGTCGAGCACTGCAACTACTGGTCAGCTATTGTCAAAGAAAGGCTCATATGTGGCCTTTGTGATCCTAGCCTCTTGGATCAGCTGCACTGATACGCGAAGCTGACACTCAAGGAAGCATGGCCTCAGACCCCTCGGTTTAAAAACCTCGACAAAGAAAAAGAGGCTGTCCCTAGAACTGCACGCCATCTACATGTGACTTTGGCTGCAGCGCGTTTCACCGATTTTCAGACTCCCAACTCAGCCCTCGACCTGCAACTACTGCAAAAAGAAAGGTCCCTTTGTTGTAGTAAGCCGCTCACAGAAGCACCAGCAGAACAACCTTGGCTCTGTTCACCTTCATGCTGTCAGAGCGCCCAATGCGGCAGAAGTTCATCGACATGACCATCAACAACTACACAGCGCAGCTCAAAGCCGACTCCGGTGCCAAAGAGTGTGTTGTACCAAGCCACTTTCTCAATTCACTAGCACTGATAGTTGGGCGAGTTGGTGTTGGTTCATGAGCGGCGCAAAAAACACATGGGACACAGGTGAAGAAAACCACACAGAAATGGGCGCCGGACACGCAACTAATTTTATTCATGTCGACTCACACATCAGGCACGTGGCCCAAAAACATGTGAAACAGCACGAAAGGTTTGTCACAAATTCCTATTCAAATAAGATATCTCCTTTTGTTGCAGGGCGATAGATTAAATGCTGATACATGAGTCAATGTTAGAAAAATTCAAAGCCTCAATTATTTCTCGAGTTCTCTGATCGATACTCTAGGCGATGAAGCTAGTGTTTTCATACTGGGAGACACACCCACACTTCCCTACAGTGCGTGCCTACATGTGAAAGGGCATCGGTGCGATAATTGGCCTTGTGTTCTTTTAATCTCAGATTACACATCTACCAGTTTGTCCTATGTATATAATGTCAAAAGAAAAAGGAAACTCGTACACAACACCGTGGTGCAGTCAACAGCTTTTAAACGATGCCTGACGCCGCATCCTGAAGTCTTTTCTCATTTCTTCTTCGCTTTTTTGCTTACATGTGCGGAAAATTTGTTGCAGCTAATTAGGTACTGCTAAAACACCCTCACACCAAATCGGCTTGCCACATTTTTCAATCCATGCGACATCCTATGCACATAGGGTACTACAGCTGTTTTCTTGTTATCTTCGAGATTTTTGTTTTTCATGTCCCCGCTCACTCATGCTTTAGTGATCGACCACATTCAAAGTTCCTTATGTGATCGACTACGCCTTCCATATTAGATGCGCTGTCAATGAGAAGCGGCATGGATTTCCATTTGCCATATTATTGTAAGGAGTGCTGGTGTGAAGCGTTACTGAACAGCACGAGAATCTTGCGAAAAAGCAAAGACAATGTTGCCCGTGAATCGGCAGAGGCGATGTAGATTAAGCAATTTGGTGTACAATGTATATTGTCCCGTCCCTGTCAATGTACGATAACTGAATTCACTTTCTTATCTGATAGGTTGTGATGGTAGTTGTTTGGGTTTTTCCATGTGGTCGTATGCATGCGTGAGGGTTTCAGAAGATGAGCATTGGTTCATTAAAAGTGAGTTTTAAGTGTGTGCTTTGTAGTGTCTATTCTTTCGTCTTCTTTCAACTTTACACCGACGATGTTTTATGATCACACAACCATGTTTTCTTCATCACTGAAAGTTTTTCTATCAACTTGACACATTAAACATACATTTGGGGCGTCTACACTCAGGGGCGTATGGTTACGAGACCGCTATATTGCTTTGCGCCGTCGATTGTAACATTCAGGCACTAGATTGTACTCTGTCAGCAAGGACAGAAAGTCAAACACCATTCACGCCTCAATGGCAGGAGAGTTGCATAAATTAAGAACTCCACCCGAGTACCAGAGTGTTCACAGTCTCTATTACTCTGCCTTCAAGGAAAGAGTAAGTTCCCCGGCCAACTCTGCCCTGATCCCACACAAAGTCAAATGCTCTGGGGAAAGTAACACAGTTCTTTTGCTCTTGCTGTACTCCCTCCAAGAGCAGTACTCCAAGAGCAGGCTCACGGCCCTGAAAAAAGACGCGTTCACCGGAAGCCTGATTTGAATTGCAATCGCTGTGAACATCGGAAGTAGAAGAAGGTGCAGCAGCAGCGAGTAGGCATGCCCTAATGTGTCTCGGTATTGCACTGCTGGTTGAATCCGTCGCCACCGGTGTGTCCGCTCATGTCATTTCTTTTGACATATCTCCCGAAACAACGTTTGTAAAGAAGTAAACAGATTTTTTTTAGTGCTATGCATGCTTAACTAGAACTGGGTACACATTTTAATGCTTAGTAATGAATTCTCAAGCAGCTAAGGCGGCATATATACGAGGGGCAGAACGAATGTGAACATTTCTGACAGGCCCGGACGTGTGTTCTGCGGCCGCTCTGGTATTCTTGCTTTAGTTCGACTGCGCAATTTCTCCAGGACTGATTTTTTTTGTGTGTGTGTGTAAACTTTGCGGCGTGTTTTCCCGGCCGCTTAAGCGGCGAAACGAGTGAATTTTCAACAAGTTCTGCCGCTTTCGCTCTTTTGGTGCCAAGTGTGAATGCGCCTTGGAACCAGCAGCATGAGTGCGGAAACCTCGATACTAAATGGAAAGGCATTGAAAGCACGAAAGTTAAAAAAACATCATCGTTTTTTTTTTTTTTCAGCAAGAAGTAGTTGACCCCAATAAAGTTCTTTTTCATCTTCATCCCCAGCTTTAAGGGGGAACGCCACCCAGGAAACCAAACTTTTTTTCTTCTATGATATCTTGATGAAACTTTCAGGGTATATTCACTACAATACAACTAGAGAACTTGCAAAGTTTCATGAAATTCTGTTCAGCGGTTCTAGAGGTACTGAGGTCTAACTGGGTGATTCACTTGGGTGTGTGAGGAAGAGCCGGAAGAAATCCCAGGACATGCCAGAAGGCTAAAATTATTTGTGGTCATCCCTGGATAGATATCCTAAAGCCTTAAAGAGCCTTTTTTTTTTTTCAGTTTACGCTCCAAAAAAATTTTATGCAACTTTGAATTTTATGTAGCCAGTAGGTATGACATTTATCAAAATTTAATTGTTTATTAATAAGTATTGCTACCAATTTTCAAAATAAAAAAAAGAAGCTTGTTACATCTTGGCAAAATCATCCAGGAGCGCAGAATAAAAGAAACGGCACACAAATCTGATAAGCAGTTCTTGAGAAATCGCTTTCCTCAGCACCACAACTAGCCAAGAAATCCATTTTGAGAAAACGAACTTTGAAAGTTCAGCACATGTGTTTTACTGAAAAAGCTCCAGCAGAGTAGCTTGAAGTGTCCTTGTGCACTTTTTTCCTCTTTTGTCTTCCCTTCCTTCATTTTCTCCGAGCGCTGTTTTTTTTTAGACATAGGGAATCTCTTTCAAGAACCGGCTGCATCAGTTAAAATTTTTTTCTCCATCGCTGGCGTAGATTCGAGTTCAGCGCGAACGGCAACTCGACGTCTCGCACTGATTTCTTTCTTAGGAAATGCGTCCTCAGATGAAGGGTCGATGGCTCATGCACCCTATTGGCCCCGATGCAGACGAAGTGCTGTGTCTGGCGATCTTAGCAACACTCCGTGTCACGGCAGCACAGATTCAGAGCACATGCTGGACCCGGCGATCTCGGACACGCTTGGCGCATTCGCGGCTCCATGTACACACGGTGTGTCAGATTCTGGACTGGTGGCAGCCTGACAGCACAGTTATGCCACTGCAAGCATCTATGCACTGGGCACTTGCAGCAGAAAAGCGGAATTTCAATTCTCGTACAAGCTGCAAAACGCGTTTCCACGCTCCGAACTTACGCACTCTCTTCAAGCTTCGTTGCCGGCATCAAAGCACAGCAACAAAAATAAAGAGCACAGAACTTGCGCAAAAAGAAAAAAAAAAAAACATGATGAACTGATCGAAAACACAGCGCAAGGAAAAAAAAGCGGGTCGTAAGCAGACGTCTGTCGAGGTGGGCGGAGCAGAAAGCAACAGCGAGACGAGCGCAACGACCGTGCCATTGCCGGGAGGAACCGCCACCGCTTCCAGCGCAGCAGCCAATGACAAGCGCGCTTTCGCCCGCGAAATATGAATAAGCTGCTCTATCCAATCAGCACTTCGCATCGCGTTCCAGGGAAACGCCAATAGCATCTTAACCGCGCTGCCGACGCCATTTTAAAGGTGGCAAACGACAGAGAAAGAATTTACTGTAAAAACAAGACCAAGATGGTGCGGGACGACCGCACAATCTCAAAACGGCTCGCGTGCGCTTTGGGCGCTGCAGCAGCCTCGAAAATAGCTTCTTTGCACATTGGGGTTGAATTAGGCACTCATTTTAAAGAATAGGTACTTTATGTCACATACAACCTAACCATATGGTTTGTTCAAAAACAAACTTTTTCGCGATTTTTTCAGTTTTCAAGGGCCACGTCCTCACTTGTTTTTAGTTCATACGAATTCGAGATGATACAAATATTTTGCGTGCTCTCTTCTAATTTGTATCATTGAGATTCTACTGTACCACATAAATTTATGGGAAAGTAGAACTGCGAATGCATTTTTTCTCAGGTTCATGTTTTTAGATGTGACACGTAGCCTTACAGGGGAATTTATGACGTGAAAAATATACAGCAGAAAGATTTCGGACAACCATCTTCCTCTTGCGCTGCTCTGCAAAGAAGCCAACGTAAAATCCTCAAGTCGAAAGAGAGGCAGCTTTCATGCATTTTCTTCCTTGGCCTTTGAGCCATCGCTCACCCTTATCTTGGCAGGTGAGGCAGGCCTGAAGGGCTATGGCTGCCTCGACACGCACTGGGAGTTCCGAATCGTGCAAAAGGCAGTGTGTGAGCAGCTCGACAGCGCGCAGTAGGTTGGCCTCGGTGCGGAAGGGCATCTCGCAGAAGTAGTGAAGCACCCAGCACGCACGCGCCCGCAGGAAACCCTCAGGACTGCCAAATTCCGGGTAGACATGAGCCACCAGCATTGCCTCCATTTGGTCCTGCATCAGAGCCACAAGAAGGCCATTCTCTCAAAGTACAAGCGACATTGTACTTACTCTTTTCTTTTACCCCTAACATACATTGAAGCCTCATTATTATGAACCATACTAAGGTGTTAAATAACCACAGATGTGGTCTTGTCAAGCAATATAAATTTCCCACAGATCTTGCTCAACGGTGAGCTTGCCTTTTCATTTCTGGCTGGTGAATAGAATTTACAAGTACAGTAGCATCTGTAGTTGGAAACATTCCGAATATATTCACTTCAAATTTAAACCTGATAAACACACCTTGTACATGCGGCGCTTGAGCAGAAGTGTAGCCACAGTGCCAACGAGATGCAAGGCACCGTCTTTCTGCCGGGGCGAGCAGGCCGGGCTGGTCAGCAGGGTCACCACAAAGGCCATAGCACGCTGCAGCACCCCCTTACGCTTCTTGCACACAATGTGCACCAGGCTCTGGGCTGCCGTCACAGGTGACAGGAAGTCCTCGAACACATCTGCTCCAGCACAAGAGAACCAAATTTATCATAGCTTGCACTGGCACACTGACCACCACCAGAGCACACATCGCCCAAGCAAGTCTTGCAATTCGTCTGCCAGAGGATTCAACAAAGGCTATGATGGGTAATAACAATAAAATTTCAGTTTTTACATCCCAAAACCACGATAATGCCACCCGCGTTTCTTATTTTCACTTTATATTTATTTGGTTTTCGCCCACCAAGACTGGGTCACGAACCCTCAGTGGAGGCAGTGTGTTGCGCCTTATTGTATGAGAAGGTTCGCGATCATTGTAGATCGTTCTATTACCATTGCCTGCAAGAAACGAACATTCGAGATTATTGTAGAGCTTGCGCGAAGACCAGTGATAAGGCTGAAATATTCGACGACGCATGTATTATGGGGCCTGAACTTGGCAACGTTTAACGCTGGAAGCTTATCTAGTGAGGCAAGTCTAGCTGTACTATTCGAAGAGCTAGAGGGCATTAAATGGGATGTATCAGGGCTCAGTGAAGTTAGGACAGGTGAGGCCTATACAGTGCTACAGAACGGGCATGTCCTTTGCTATCGGGGCTTGGCTGACAGAAGAAAACTGCGAGTGGGGTTCCTTATCCACAGAAACATTGCTTGCAACATAGAAGAATACTAAAGCATTAATGAAAGGGTTGTAGATATCGTAATCATACTCAATAAAAGATACAAAATGAAGGTGGTAGAATGTCATTAAGAAGCGTTAAAGGATGAAAGCCTCAAGTACAACAGACAAAATAGAGTTGATAGAGCTGCTGAAGTTGATTAGTAGGCGTAAGGTATCTGATGTAAGAAGGTATAACATGGAGAGAATTGAACATGCTTTGAAGAACGGAGGAAACGTCAAAGCAGTGAAGAGAAAACTTGGGATAAGCAAAAACCAGATGTATGCACTAAGGGACAAGGAAGGCAAAGTAACCACCAATATAGAAAGGATAGTAAAATTAGTGGAGGAGTTATACAGAGAATTGTACAGTAGCCAGCACAACCAGAACCTTCATATAAGAACTAGCAGTAACACAGATGACACCCTAGCAGTAATAATAGAAGTCAGAAAAGCCTTGGAGAGCATGCAAACAGGCAAAGCTGCTGGTGAGGATCAGGTAACATCATATCGTGTCTCCTGAGGGGAAGAGTACCAGAGTCTTGGAAGAATGCTAAGATTATCATAATACATAAGAAAGGAGATGACAAGGACTTGAAGAATTACAGGCCAATCAACTTGTTCTCCGTAGTATACAAGCTATTAATTTAATTCATGCCCCCTAACCCGTTCATTAATACAGCGCCCGGCAGTCCCGACGTACGAGTTGCTACAAGAAAAGGGAATCTCATAAACAACGCCTTTTCTTGTGGCAACTCGTACATCGGGACTACCGGGCACTGTATTAATGAACGGCTTAGGTAGCATGAATTAAATTTAATGAAAGATGGCTTGGCGCATTTACCTATGCATCGTAAAGCCTGCGGGTGTGTACCACGTTTTAAGGAGCTTAAGATTCTAGGTAGAAGTAGACATAAAACTGTGCGTGAGTTGACGGAAGCATATTACATTAAGAAGAAAGGTGAAAGTTGTATCAGCGAACCGTTGGTGACATTGTACTTATCGGAGAAGAGATTGTTCGATAGCTGGATAGCGTAAGGCTGTGTGAAGACTGCGCATGTCTGTATGTTGTTACTTAAGTCTGGATTTGCGCCCGGTCTACTTTAGTTGGAAGTGCTGCTTGTGCTTGTCGTTGAGTGTTTCTTTACTTCGTGTGTGTGTTGTTTGCGGCCGAAGCATGTCAGTAAGCAAGTACCAACTAGGCCAACAATCAGTATTGTTACAGTTTTCAGTGTGGATACTTTGGAACCAGATAGAGAAAGGGTATCGGTAACTGAAAACTTGATTTAAAAAAAAATAGTTTTTTGCCGTTTTTCGCGATTCCAAAGCCGCTTCCCCCTTAAACTGGTTTGCTAGTTTACTGCCCTTCTGGCTTTCAGCGGTTTCGTGCTGATGTTTTCTGTCCATCTGCCAAAAAAAAAAATTAGCTCACAGCGTCAGATGCCCACCCGCTCAGGGCAAGCGGTCCGTCCAAGGTGAATTTTTGGGGGGTCACGCTAATTTACACCAGTCTGAAGGATGCTGTCTGCACTTCCCTATCAATCAGCATCCGGCCATGTCCCACCGCCTCCTCCTCCTCTTTCTCTCCCTCCCTCCCTTCCTTCCTTCCTTCCTTCCTTCCTTCCTTCCTTCCTTCCTTCCTTCCTTCCTTCCTTCCTCCCTCCCTCCCTCCCTCCCTCCCCCACCCACTCACAGCCGGACACCAATTTTCCTCCTACGCGGCAACCACACGGAGGGGCAGAAGAGCAAGACAGTGTCCGCTGGGTGCGATGCCCGAGTGCGAGGTCAGAGGCACTGAAGGGGGCACTCTGATGGCTCATTGCTCCTCTTGATTAGCCGCGAGTCCGACGAATGCCGCTTCGATGGTGTTTTGGAGGCCCCAAATTTCTCGATGGATGACTGGGGAACCTTGCTGGAAAGCCCAGCCTCACCAGGGATCAGGGAGACCGAACCGGAATCGGCTGCGAGGCGCCCTGGCATTGGCTGGCAGCATATAGCTGCTGTCAGCTGGCTTCGCGCAGGAGCCATCATGAAAAAGGACAGCAAGGCTTCTCAGCGATGACCGAGAGCAAGGCACGGCCGGACTGTCTGACGGCACTGGGTCAGGGCCCCGAGCACCTCTAGTGTCCACGTCAATGGGGCGAAGCCATGATGTGCACTATTCACGGGCATGCACTGAAGCGTGACGCACTTACACGTGCACAGAAGCACGCACGCACACACAGCCAACGGCTGCTCGAGAAATGGCGCAAGGCCTCTTCGTCCCACTCTCCACGCATAAGCACCGATACTCAATGACACAACTCCCTTCGCGGTAGACGGAATAATCACGAAAAAAAAGTAAAACAGAGCAAAATAACACTCAATCTCAGGCCAGAAGAAAATAAAGACATAAGATACAAATAACACTTATTATTAGACAAAAAAAAAACAAAAACATAAAACACATATGAACACATGAAAAAAAAAAAAAAAAACACTGGCAGCAAACTGGGCGGGGTCAACTTCTTTACGAGAAAAGGCCGTAAAAAAGCTAACCTATACTAAGGCTAGACAGTAACCTGAGGGCCTTCGGTTGCGGAGAAGTCCGCCGTCTCGCGCGAAATCACAAAGGTGACCGCTTCCTCAATTATACCGGTGCCAGGTCTCAATGCGGTCCGTCGCCCCGGCTGTGCCCCGTTGCATGCGTGAAGTGCCGCAGGGCGCTGGCGCGAGCTCGTCAGACCGTGATACAAAGGGTTTAAGGTCTGCAATATGGGCATGGATGAACTTTCCCGTATGGGGATCTTCCAGACAGTACGTGAGTGGAGTGCAAGCTTTCTCCACTCGGTACGGACCAAGCCACTTAGAAGCGAGCGAGGTTGAGAACCCCTTACTGGCATCGCTAAGAGCGTGGTTACGCTTCAGGACAAGATCAACCACCTCAAAAACTAGGTCGTGATGCTTGCGGTCATATTGGGCCTTCTGCTGAGCCCTGGCCGATGCCAAACTTTGCCTTGCTTTGCAGAAAGCTCGACAAAGCCTGTCCCGAAGTGTCGACGCGTAAGCAGAACAGTCTGCCGGCGTCTCCTCGTCCTCAAGCTGGAATTGAGTGACGCTGGTCACCAGATTTGCCAACTCCCAATATTTAAGAAGGCGGGCGAGAAACCAGTTGAGCGACTCTCGGATGTTCGAATAGTGAACGCGAGCAAAGGCCGCTGACATTGGTTTGAGCATACGATTGACGCGCTCCGTCAAATTGGACTGACTGGGGATGGTAGGGTGAAGTGGTGCAGTGATCAATTCCGAGGGAACGGCTCGAGACACCAAACACCCATGCGGTGAAATACGAAGCATTGTCCCTGATGAGCCTTTCTGGGAAGCCAAACCGGCCAAACACTTCCTGCAGCTTGTCAAGCACCGCTCGCGCTGTCACCTTCCGAAGAGGGAACAACTCCACCCATTTCTAAAAGTGATCAACGCCTACATCAGTTGAATGACTCCCTGCTTACTTCTGGGAAATAGTCCCATGAGATCGCAGGTGGGCACTTGCCACGGACGCTCACTGACAATTGGTTTCATCAGACCGGGTGGTTTGCCACTCCTTGATTTCACCATTTGACAGACGCGGCAAGAACGGCAATAGCGAAAAATGTCACGCTTCATGCCAAGCCAGGTCACAACGCGGCTCAGTTTTGCAAAAACTTTTGAGCCACTCAGGTGCCCAGCCATGGGTTCGCCTTGAGAGGATTGCAACAGTGCGGCTCTCAGACTTTTGGGCATAACTACCTTACATGGGTCAATGAACTCGTCGTCAGTGGCTATTTACTTCAGCAGGAGCCCGTCATTGGTCCAGCAAATATGCATCCGCTGGGGACTCGGCGGCACACACTGGTTCGAGCCCCCTATTTGCGCCCGCTGCAGGGTAAGCAGCGTCACGGTGCTCCGTCTCGGCCCCCTGCAGGACAAGCAGTATCACTATTCCCGACAAAACGGACCACTCTGCTGGGCCTTCATAATCTCTTTTCATAAGCGATTCCCATTCTCCCAAAATGGGGAAGTCAGGTATCGCGCCCACTCAAGACCGCAGCGACAACCGCTTGCGTCGGCGTCACGGGTGCGCTCTCGGCATCGTGGCCTTCGGAAAGCACACCCGGTCGGCCGCTTAGCGGTGCGCCACTTACCTGGTTAGCAGCCAAGGTTTGTCCGCATGGGGACTCACCCTTCTCACTAAATGACGGCGAAGCCGCTATTTCACCCCGACGCTTGCATGTGCAAAGGCACCGCTAGCGGCTGTCGCACCGGGGTCAAGGTCCTCAGCAGACAATGGGGCGCGAGATAGCGCGTCAGCTATCTCGTGCCCCCTTTCAATACTGGTGCCTC